CTCGGAGGTTTGCCATTGCCTCTCGGGGGACGACCTCTGTTAAGAAAAAATGTTTTTTCTATATTTTTTTGCGATGTTGCTTTGACCAGGGCTTGAACCCAGACGCCGCTGAATGGAAGCGCGCACCGCTTACCACTACACCACGGCGACAATACGTAATTAAGAATACAAACTTTCGCCTCTGGAATCTACATTATAAAATATTTACCTACGAAAATTGGTTGACTTTTTCTAAATTTTGTATCAAGTTTGAAACTTCATTTTGTATAATTTTGGTTAAGACCAATATTTTTTATAAAAAAAGAACAAATAAAATCTTTGCTAGAAAAACGTTGCGAATATTATTTGAGTCATTGTGTGTCTATACATATAGATACATATGTACGTAGTTTTTACTAACTCGTATTCGGAATTAGAGATGGGCACGGGCCGGGCTTTTGGCAGGGGGCCGACGAGCCCCTGCGTAGGCCCGCGGGTACGGGCCGGAATATTTGCTGTCAGCACGAACTCGTGCGGGCCTGGGCGTTCAGTAAAATATCATAAAAGCACGAAAAGACACGAAAAGCCCGTTGCTAATACTAAAAATTTAGATGAGCTTTTGTTTTTATACAAAAAAAAATAGTACATATTTAAAACTCTTTTGATAAGAGAAAAGCTAAAAAAGAAATATTTGGAAACCGATAGAAAATATATGATACTTAGTAGTTTTGTTTACATACATATCTGTACATAAAATACCTTCCACTTTTTCTACTTCCCAGAAAATATATTATAAAAATCTTTGATGTAAAATATTGATTCGCTTAAGTAAATATACATATGGACATAAACACAAAATTAAAAATATGTACATATGTATACAAACAATAAAAGTTGGCTTTTTATTTCCGGGCTGGGGCGTGTCCCGTCGTGCCGGGCCGGGCGGGACAGGGCCCCACTAAAATTCTTAACGTGCGGGCTTGTGCGTGTTTTTGAAAGTTGATTTTGCACTCGTACCGGGCCGGGCCTGAAAATTTAGGCCCGTGCCCATCTCTATTCGGAATATCGTATCATCATATCGCACGCATTTATTGTAAACCAATAAAAATTCCATTTTCGTTCAGACTTGCGTTTAATAAAAATATTTTGTTTATTGCCATATGTATTGAGTTATTACAATTTTTTATTTTCCAGTTAATTGTTGCTTTTCCACAATAAATTTTCATTTAAAAAACGGCCTCGAGCTCAATATAAATTGTTGAATACAGTTAATAAAACTTTAATAACACTTATGGAGTGTCCCCAGTTGAGAAATCACTTATTTTCTGTAATCAACTTGAGTAGATAAATTATATGAAGTTTTGTATTTAAGACTTTTACTTTTCCCTATCTAAGCCCAACCGGTTTTTTTATCAACTGTCACCATGACTTTTTTTCTACCTGCCTCCATATAGCCGAAACACGGTGCGTATATTCTGGAAAACGAAAATGTGGATAACGGTGCGAACAGTGGCGCAAATAACAGCGTGAGCGTACAAAGACGCCAACAATGGTGCGGCCAATGGAGCGGACAACGATGATGTGGACAACGGTACGAGCAATGACGACGTCGAGATTGTTGACACGGGGATCCTATGTATTTATGTATGTATCAGGGCCAAATACAGATTTTTGTACTGAAATAAATAAATAAATAATAAAAAAGGAATAGATTCTTTTTATTGCAGTTTCATTCGCTTTTAACTGAGTATATTTTTTTATTTAACTATGTTGCATGACTAAAGCTGATCAGTATGAAGCCAAGTACATAACTTCTAAATTGTTGAACGAAAACGATGCATGGAAAATTAAATTATACATTGGTATGTATGTACATTAAGGTGGTCCAAAAATAAAAAGTCGGAATTTTAATGCTCTCATCTCCTAGGATCGTTCTATACCGAAGAAAAAACATACCCCGTTTTTTTTAAATCAAACATGTTTTTAGAGATTACTCAAAGCCCTCAAAGTGTTCCATGTATTTTATATGGGATAAAAAGTTTTTCGTGGAAATGGTGTGAAATTCCTAAAAATCAATTTTCCGATCGGATAACTCTATTTCGCCTTAGGAAACTGGCAATAATAATACCGAATTGTTTATTTAACCACTTCCTAATATTAACTATAGGTCCGCCGAAATCCCAAAATATGCAATGGAGGGAGCCATAAAAAGTCGTTAGTATTAAAAAGTGGTAAAATAAATAATTGGGTACTATTCCCTATTACTATTTTTATAGGTCCGCCGAAAACCCCAAAAAATACAATGGAGGGAGCCATGAAAGGTCGTTAGTACTAAAAAATGGTTAAATAAATAATTGGGTACTATTCCCTGAAGTCTTCTGAAGAGAAATAGAGTTTTTCGATCAAAAAAGATTGATTTTCAAGAATTCTATATCATTTCCACAAAAACTTGTTCTTCCCCCACATAAAATACATGGAAAACTTTGAGCGCTTTGAGGGACCTCTAAAAATTTTAAGATTTCAAAATAAAACATTGTAAGTTTATAGACGCGTTGTAAAATAGGGGTTAATTCTTTTGATATAGAATAATCCTAGGGGGTGAGAGCATTAAAACTCCGATTTTTCTTTTTCACATGTATTTTGGACCACCCTAATGTACATGTACACATAAATGTGTTTCTTTCAGTTTACACGCAGAATTGTATTAATTAGTTTGAATCACACAAATCAGAAATTAAAATCTGCTAAAATTTTATAATATACATACATATGTATGCACATACATAAAAAAAAATGTGTGGAATTCAATCGTTTAACAGTATGCGGCTGGATATTAAAGGATGAAAGTATAATAGTATGCCAGTAAGTTTGCCTGTCGGCTGGAAAAGGGCAAAAAAACGCCGAAAAATATCTCATAAAAAATCATTTGTAAAACATGCCACAAAGTAAAATAGAATCTCAAGCAATGCATATTAAATCGTACCAGAAAAATATCCGAAATTGCCCCGCAAAAATACTTTAAACTCAGGGGCCAAATGTGCATATGTAGATAAGTAGTTGATTTTTGTTGTTAATTATTAGTATGCAGTCTATAATTGTAATATTTCAAAATGCACTCTAATATCACCTTATGTAACAACCTTATAAGACAATATTTTAATTACATAAATAATATACATACATAGCTCAATTAGACCTCTTTTTGTCCAAAGTAATAAATTCCAATTTCCTACTTTTCTGCCTTTCAGCATTCAAAAGCGCATTAATCAACACAATGCAAACAATTGTATCGGATCTTACACTGCCAACAACTGTAGTAACACCTGTCGCTGTTACAGCCACCACCTCATCACCTGCAGCAACAGACACACAAACAAAGTTGGTGGCAAATGGGAAATTCGTCCAAATCGGCCAATACGAACAAAACAGTGAAGAGGAAAATGACAAATATGAGAAAAGTGACTCTAGGGAAAGCGCTGAGGAGCAACGATTTATCGTTAAATACCGACAAAGTTATTATGATATAACACGTTTCTTGAAAAATCATCCAGGTGGCATAAATACGTTGCGTGGCCTCAACAATGGCGATATGACAACACGTTTCCTACACGCGCCCCCACACTCCGATGCTGCCATGTACCTGATGAAAGAATACAAACTAAAATCAGCACATTTACAAAATGACACCAAGCGAGAGCAAAATCTGCATCAAAGGCAACAGAGGGTGCATAATGTTGATCTGATTGTAGCTGATGATGACGTGCAACAGCAACCAGTGTTTGAAGCAAGCGCGAGCGCGAATGGTATTGAATTGATTGCGAATGCTTTGCAAGAAGATAAAAACAATAATCAGCTGGATGAAAGTATGGAGGTGAGTGTAAAACTTCCCTGTAAAAAAAGGATCAATCAATCGCTCCAAAAATCTCCAAGCCTCGTGCATTTGATACTCCGTTTTAATATAGCATGTCCTTATGGGCGAGCACTTCTTTTGAACGTAGGACAAAGAGGGTTATTCCTTTGATAGATATTTCTTGTCTCGTTTATTATTTACCTACACCGCAACGTATCAATAAGCGTGCAATCAAAACAGTTTTTGGAAAAAACTAAACAAAAATACTTTTATTGCTCGCTTATTAATCCGAATGGATTAATCCATACATTTTTACTGGATTGTACGAAATGGTATGTATGTATGTATGTAAGTACCGCCTAGTGTTAAATGGAAAAGGAAATGCCTAAATTTTGCCGACATTTATGTCAGTGCTGCCAAATTCCGCACAACATTCAACTATAGCACTTCCCATGTACATACGTACAAATGTACATTTGTTTGCAAATGGATGAGATTGCAAAAATTAATTATATTCTACAAATATTGTAAAATATCCTGAATATACTATTTATGTACATATGTAGTTGGTGTTTTTAACTATATTGC